TCCGCCCGGCGGCCGCACCCCCGCCACAGCGGGGCTGGCGCAGTGCTCAACCCCTGTCCCGGCGCAGCACCACCTTCACACCAACTTCACACCAACTTCCCCTACGCCTGGGGACACCTCTGCCAACCACCTTCTTGGTACCTTCTGGCAACGGAAAAGGGGCCGCTGCACGCGCTCGGCAGCAGGACCGAGCGCGCTTCTGCCCAAAGCGGTGTTTGACACTCACACCTCGTGCTCAGCCTCAGGTGTAAGGTCGCCTACACGGAAACCGCGCGTGTTCAGCGTACACAGCTCCAGCTGCTGACCGCTGCACCCAGTACGATAATCAACAGGAATAAAACCCAAGAGCGGACAGCACAACAAAAGTGGTTTTCTTAAAGAGTGTTTTGGGCTTGATACCGAACCGCCCCGATTAAAAAAAACAAAGTTACACTGCTTTTTCCTCGTCAAGCTGCAGCCTCAAAAAAAGCTATTAGTCCCTCTTGATCACAGCCATCCAGAATCTCCAGAAGAAGAGGAACTTTGGTTTTCACATTGGTGCCTTTAAATTTAAATTTGTCGATGAAGAGATCCGTGATCATACCTGCAAAGGGAAAATCCCAGGACTTAGTATCTCCCAATGAAACCAAGTCAGATACCTCTACTCCTAACTTGTTATTACCTACCCACTATTCCAGCCAATTCCGAGTTTAGAGGCAAGACTCTTTACACTTCACATTTTAAGTAGTGATACACTTTTAAACAAACCCAACCCGCTGTTAGAACAGCCCAGACTCCAGCTTCATGCCAAAGTGTGGATTTCTGCCTTAGAAACACTGAAGAGAGGAACTACCACAGGATGGGCAACGAGGACTCTGCTTATGCCGCATACACAGAGGCCTATTAAAGCTGGTGTCTGGCAGAGATCCTGAGCTGAAAGCTGTATGGGGAACACTAGGTTACAGAATTCCCTTCACTAAATGAGTCTTCTAGAGTCTCCCTTCCCACCCACCCCACGAGCATTCTTCTGTAACACAACCACTCTGAAACTTAATCACTCATTTAACTTGAACCCATTTCTTAAATGCCATCCTGCATTTGAATACAACCCTTAATCATGTCCATAAAGACAAGGATCACCCCAATATAAGAAGCTATTAAACAAAAAGTAGAAAAGTATCTTGCAAATAATCCTGGTATTTTTATTCTCAGTGACAGGCTTGTAGTGCCAAATCAATTTTACAAGTTCTCAGGTGAACCACCCTTGGGAACCTTCAGAGAGTCCCTCAGAGTTTGTAGTAGCATACAAGCCACCTTCATGATGTGCTAGGTCTTCCCACCTCACCTGCCACTTCCCATGGCAGAGGGGTTGGAACTAGATGATCTTTAAGGTCCCTTCCAACCCAAACCATTCTGTGATTCAGATATTGACGATCCAAACCATTATATGAACGTGCAGCCTCGGCTGTACAACCAGACAGACAGACGTACTGACATACCTGTTGCTGTCCTGAAGCCACCCAAGTGTACCCACTCACCTAACTATTTCACTTCTGCTAATACTGGTTTCACAACTATTTCAGTCGTGTCCAGCATGCTCTCTGGACATTAAGCTGCATTTAAATAAAGGTTGAATTGGTCAACAAACCATAAAGTCTCTCGAGATGTGCAGGCTGTCTCTTGTATTCCTCCAGCAGCTGATCTGCCTCTTCCAAAATGCTGCGGTATTTTGGGAGCAGGAAGTCCACATTTCCTTCATGGACTTGTAATTCCTCAAAGACATTTTGAAACACAGTAATTAATGGCAGTTAAGAACCATAAGAGCATTAAAGTAAGAAGAAATTAAGCTTGGGTCTGACAGGAGGAAGTACTTCAGAGACAAGGCAATCCCCTTCAAACTAGCAAGAGTTATTTTCCAAGTGCCTCATTCTCTAGTCTTCTAATGAAACGTCAGATGTTACTTGTCATAGATGAGATTCTCAAACTCCTGTGCACTAGAGCTTCCAGCTCCGAGTACTGCCAGGACAGGCTCATGCTACAGCACAGCCCCTACAGAATCAGGCTGAATGAAGGCTCAAAGCCCTCACCAGGTCTTCACTTTCAGAATAAGCAAATGCCTAGAAAGCTTTTACTCTGAGTTCACTTTCAGAGTAAAAGTAAACTCTGAAAGAATCACTCAGTTCGTGAAGGCAAAAAGTTTGAAATACCTCTTCTAAAATGCCTCAGTCTACCATGTGACTAACTGAAGCTGGTCGGTACTATAAATCTTTCTGTGCCCCCAGAAACACCGTTCTTTCCTAGACGAAAGGTAATTAAGCTGTGGTTCCTGAGTCTGCTGGGATAACAGCTTTCAATCATCAGACTATTTTACTGCCTGTGAATAAGTTGCCATCCAAAAAAAAAAAACAGTGACAAAAAAATTGCCAAAAGAGATTCGTCAAAGATGATTTGCTGCCTAAAAAAAGCCTAAACCAAACAAGACGTGCAATAATAATGATGTTCCACAAATAGAATGGTGCATTAAGAATCAATTCTCTGTTACCTCCTCAGATTGCCAAATCAAGCCCAAGTAAAAAACCTTTAGTGATAAAGACTGACTACTATGCTCACCAGTGGTCAGTTTTTCTACTAACTAAAGAGTTCCGACAACTAGCATTTAACTCCCCCAATGGACAAGAAGGAACTGGTTGTCCATTTTCATCTCCCCTCCCCCTCAAAAAAAACCAAACCCAAACCCCATAACATCAAAAGAGATAATGCAGTTTTTGACAGTAAAATCCTGGTTGTTGGAAAAAGTCCAATGACTGAGAGAAGCTGCCTAACTGGTACCTCCCAAAGACTAACCATTGGGCAAGGTATTAAGCAGAAGATTAAAAAGCAGATAATTCAGGAACTACAACACACTGGGCTGAAGTTCCAAAGCAGGGAAGTCACATCTAGCCTGGATGATCAACCCTACATCTAAAAACCAACTTTTACAGATTAATGGAAAGAGACAAAGAAGGAATTGGAAAATAACAGCAGGCAGAAAGCAAATATTAGATGATAAAGCTGGCTGCCTCCTACTGCCTGATGTAAGCATCCTCAGCATCACTCAGTAACCCTGCGTGTTACTCACTAGTTATGCAGTACAAATGGGAACTTTCCTTGTCTCCTGGTATCTAACATAATCCCCCATAAAAATCCTTCCACAGAGGTTCAGATACTTACTCTCAAAGCATCTATTAAGTGAACTTTCTTGGCCAACAGCTGCTGGTACTCTAATTTAGGGTGGATAAGCTTTAATGTGTGCCTCACAGACTCTTCATTTACGTCTAGTAGGGAGTAAAAAAAAAAACAAGCAGCAACTGAATACTACATATTCCATTTTTAAGGATATAAAATTAAATCAAGGATAACAAAATAGAGAAGAAAGTTTTACCATATGATATGCTGAGATTAATCTTCCTTTTAGTAGCCTCTTTGGAAAGCACATCTTTTAGGATGGATATTGTAGAAATATTGTCAGACTTAAAACATCCCTCACCCTTTCTATAAAGGAAGAAAACGTTTACAAGAACAAACTACACACATGCACACATTACATTTGTCCCTACATTATAACAGAAGGCCTGTAAAAACAATTCTCCATATATCAGGCGATTGTAACACAGCTGTGCTCTTCCCTCCTTCCCTACTCCCCACGTCATCTTGTCAGACACCAGTTTGTTCCAGTAAGACAAAGCAGTAGACACAAATCTGAGGTATGCACACAGCAGTTGTCTTTACTGTATGGCACTAAGGTTATACAAGTAAGATCTCTGACTGCATTCATTTCTCCTGAGTTTTCCAACTGTGATACCTTGAAGCCAAACAGCAAGCTGCAGTACCAGAAGGGAGAAAACCCCACTCTCCCCTTCCCCTCGCAAAAAAAGCCACCAGACAGCTTCCTACATTATGAATACTCAACAGATATGGTAGGTTGGGAGCGCGTTGGAATTTGTTAATTACAACAATTAGGTTTCCCCCCACTTTAAGGTTCCATTTTCAGATGGATGTACATACTTTGCTGAAGAAAGGTGTAACTAATTAATTTGAGAACAGAGTATTAAACACAGAAAGAATATTTGCCTAATCTAAGTTACAGAAAAAGGAATTCAGTTTAATCTTTAGTCACAGTTTTGTTTGCATGAGTATTAAATGCCTTTTATTTCTGTTCCTCAATACACAAAAAAGGAAGTGGGAAAACAACTGGCATTACAAAATAACTTCACTATATTAGTTAGCTAGGTTCTTTAAAGTCTAAAAGCAAGCCATCATCCTAAAATTTTATCAATGTTTTCCTTCCTGGCTATTTTGTTTTTCAGATCAGCTTCAAGAAAAAGCCTATTCAAGTTACAGATTGCATCGTTACTGGGTAGTGCTCACCCCGGCTAATGTCTGACATTCCTTTTTAAGAGAGATTCCTGTTCCCTTTAGTGGGAGGGTTTGATGAGGCTGGGGGGGGAGTGGTGATTTCATGCAGTATGCGCATGAAACGGTACCTGCAGACCAGAACAAACAAGACAAAAGCCCCAGCATGGCCACATTGTGCTTTACTGATTGTATTTTACCTGTAGGTACTTTCAAGCTGTGTACCCAGGAAGGTGTTCTGGAAGCAGAAGGTGATACTCTCTCCAGCGGGAGTCTTTTCAGGCACTTCAGGCAAGCAAAACACAACCCAGGAGTGAATTTCGGCAAAACTGAACTGGCCTTTGAGTGTCAGCGTATTCATGGGCCTATGACATTATGAAATTAAAAAGGGAAAAAAACCCAACAACAAGGATTAATAGCAGTGACTGAGGAGCATGGTCAGTGCGCTGGTTATCCATACAAAACAAGCTGAGCTCCACATGGCAGTTTCCTCTTAATCAACACGTGTAAGAAGTCAGGTATCTGGCTAAAGTAGTTCCCTATTGCGGACTGCAGCTCCTTTTCTGTATCTGAAGACAAAAAGCACAGTGTACGTTCAGGTTTTATCTCACAGTAGGCATGTCAGAACTGGCTAAGAAACTAGTTGGAAGTTTTGACACATCCCGCTTCAAGTTGTTAAACCTGAAACTTAAGACAAAGATAAATAACTGACAACACAGCAATATGACCAAGAGCCAAAACAGCCTCCCCCGTGCCCTAAACCACAGACACAGCATTTGTATGTGTGCATAATGGAGCTCATTTGCACGTTAAATAAAAAGTTTGGTATCATTCCCTCAATCCTTCAGTGGTGTTTGGAAGCCAGCAACACTGTGGTGGCAATACCAGATGCTAATTGAGGGTGGTGGTGGGGAAACTAGTAGAAATTGCATAAAATACTAGGTTCCTAACGGTGAGGTAAGGGGCAACAGCAGCCTTGGCTCAGCTTTGGAGCTAAATTAGCTATGGGAAAGAAGTACATTAAAGGGGTGGAGGGGAACATGGGGCTGAAACTGAAAAGACTGCGGTTACTAACACAGGAGTTTCCTTTCTACCACACCCTTAGGTCTACCAACACATGGGGCTGCGCTATAACCCAGGCCAGCAAAATGAAAAACAACCTGAAAACAAGGATCAAGAATGGCAAGGAAAGCAGGAACCTATTAAATCCACGTTTTCTGTCAGAAGAACCACAAAATGGAACTACAGGCTCAGAACTGTAGGTTCAGGGTTAAAAGCAACATACATAAGCTTATGGAGTAAACATTGTTTCAAGTGGATTGTGCAGGAGGAAAAGGCATTGATTTTCCTTTGCAAATACCTGTCATGGTCAATAGAATGAGTTCTCTGATGAAGCGAAAGTGGTTTAATTTGATATTGATGAACTTGGCAGGTTTTTGGTTGAATTCTTGGAGTTACATATGCTTGAAGTGTCCCGTACTGTCCTTCAATCGACCGAATCTGCAGAAATCAAAGCAGAAGCCACAAAAAGGAATAGAAGGAAAAGGATTTGTTTCCCACGATTTGGAAAATTGGTGGGTATTCAAAATATGTTAGCTGTAGTACTGCAAGAATATTTATAGCATTATATTGACTTGATAGTGCTACTGTAAATAGAGCAGCTCAAGAATGTTTTAAAACTAGATGAAGTAGTGTCCAAGGAAGTGCTACTATATTAGATGAGTGAAATATTAAAAAACTAAAACTGCTAACTTACTTTATGATCAGTTAAAATAAAAAGTCTGTAACTTGCTTTTAATTCCTCAGTGGCCCATTACTTTTTTTTTTTTAAATTAAGGAAAAAGTACATTCTATGGCAGTTGGCAGCAAAGAATAGATCTAAGAATTAAAGAGAGCAAACAATCTCAAAATACGCATTTATCTCTTCATAACAATCCCTGAGCTCTTTCTGGTAAAGTAAGAGGCCAGATTTAAGTTCAAGTCTCAGAATACCCGACAAGCAGGAGGTACAGACATGTTCAAGATATGACACAGACTGTCCATACCTGTGGAGACACAACAGCGCATCAAGCACCTCTCTGGTGAGAGCAGTGGCACACACTGCACCAAGAAGTCTGCCACTGACAACAGGCAACAGAAGCGTCGCCAGGCAAGTCGGCCGAAGAGCTACCCAGACTTATACAAACCAAGGAGTGGACTGCAGATCTTTGCTTAAAACCTTGATTACGTCCCCTATTTTATAGGGTCTCGGAACTCAAAATACAGTGTTTTGCAGAAGACACGTGCTTCAAAATTTTTAATAAAAGTAAGTTAGTAAAGAGCTCTCTTTGGAAGTAAAATGACTAAGACTCAGAAAGTTGTACTGTCTGCATGTGCACAGACGAAATACAGAAGGAGAACGAACTCCACGCGGCAGGTGTCAGCCACTGGATATCCTCAACATATCGCAGCGAGGCTGCAGTAGAACCTGGGCAGAGCGAATCCATCGCATCGGGATCCAAACGCAAGAGTGCCAGTACAGTGTTTTGATGACACACCACAGCAAGTTTGTAAGTGTTTTTAGTGGGAGAGTAAGAAAAAAAACACCCTTTTTGTGCATCATGAATGCATTTGATTCATCTTTCCTGTGTTATTTACTCTTTACCTAGTATTTTCAATATTAAAGGTGGTCAGGGTCATATCCTTAAATCAAAATAACGGAACTGAAACACAGGGAGATCAAGTGACCTGCTAAATAAGAGCCTTAATTCTGCACTCTAGGTTCATTACGGCGACCTCACCAAAAAAATCCCAACCTCTTCACGTTTTATGCATCTCATGCAGGCTTAAATTTCTAACGATAATCTATTAACTGAGAGTTTACATAAATAAATACGCATCAGATTAGGAGGCGGCAGCATTAGGTGACTACATAAAGACAAAACCTAGAGCCTGTGTACATGTTGAGGATTTTCCTAATCACAATTTCCTTCATTATGTCCCCCGGTGGTCGCCACAGAATGTGTGTTAAAAATAAACCCCAAAACACCCACATGCCTTCAGTATAATAAGCATGGAATGACAGGCTTAGCTTCCTCTCCAAAATACAAATCCGGTCTATATTCCCTGGTTACTTCCCAGGCCTCTGAGGACAAACAGTGCCAGAGCTTTCTTTCCCATGCCCCTCTCCGCTCGAAGTTCCACGCATTGTCTCGAGAATCAAGTATTTTCAGTGTCTGCGATCTCCCCACTCCTTTCACCTCAGGGACACTAAAGGAGGACCCTGGGCTCTCCTCTCAAGTAAGGCATTTTTAGAAGCCTTTGGAAACCCTACAGACAACAAGTCCCAGATGAGAAGGTTCTCAAGCACACCACCAGCAGTAGAAACTGGACTGCTCATTCACTTGGGCTGAGCAGGCAGCCCAGGTAGAGAGATCTCCATTCCTAAGCAGAGATCTACATAACCATTAATTTAGTATGGAAAATATATTGCAGCATCTTACCTTAAGCTCAAGTCTTGTAGTATTTGCTTGGCATCGGTAAGTCGCAAGAAGAAAGTTGCTATTTGGCTGTAAATGGAAAAAACACAGAAAAATATGAGCAGATAGGTCTGTGGATTCACAGAAGTTCTACTGGTCAGTTTTAACTGTAGACATATAAAGTTTTTGTTATATAAGTACAGCTATTTTTCAAAAGATAAATACAAACCAGTAATCTTTGGTTCCCTTGAATATTCCATTTAATTTCAATTCTACCATCATTACAAATTTTTTTTAATTCTACCATCATCTACCAAATTGTAATGATGGTAGAATTAAAAAAAAAATCTCTATAGAAAGAGAAATCAACTGAAGCATCTTATACTCTTGAATATCACTGTAAAAATGATAGAGATAGCTAATTTTCATCTGAAGAATGCATCTGTCAGCCTGCCCCACTCATCTGCAGTATTAGTCCAACATCCAAAAATTAACGTAAGATCAGCAAGAAAACACACCAAAACAAGCTAAATTAATCATGATGAATGACAAGAAACTTAAAATGAAAAGCTGGTTTCTGAAAGCTCCAGGGTAGACCAATGAGGTGCAAATTTTGTTCTTAAAACAAAAATACTTAGAGGACCGTTACAAGGAAGAAGACTTCACAGAAGATGTTCATAAGGTAGTTTCCAGATTGTCCTCCTGGCCCTAAGCATCGCTAGCAATTCTGTAAATATTTAATTTTATAATAATTATGTAAAAAATGCACTTAAACATATGCCTTCCCTCACAGCAGAATTTTCACGTTCTAAAGTGTTTTTTAAGAGACACCGTAAGTAAGAAATAGAATATTCTTCACCTAAGTTACTTAGGAGTAAATACATGCGATACTGGCAAATCCAGAGAAGAGAGCAATACTGAATGTGTCTTTCACATTTCTGATCAGGCAGGGAAAAGAGCACCAGAGCAGTTGCTCCTGCATCCTTTCGTGCATATTTAGCTTTGCCACATGTCAGGACCTGCCACTAACTCCGAATTCTGTAGTATCTCTAATGAAGCTGAGCTCTTCAAAATGATGAAATGAGTAGTTTAACTCCATGTATTTAGTATTACAACTATATAAATCCAAATTCTGCTTTTAATATACAGTATTAAGAGCTTTCATTGTGTCCTCTGTACAAATACAATCTCTTTTGTTTCACTTACCTCAGAATCACAACTGCTAAAACTAACAACAGCAGAATTTTTATCCACATCTAGCAAGTCTACTGGGACATCACTCTGCAGAAAAGAAAAATAAAGAGCTTAGGTTTCTCAGTAGCTTCTAATGCATTTACCCTCTAACTGTCACCAATTATTTTAATAAAGGAGAGGCAAGGATTGCTTCATCCAAGAGGTAAAAGCCTAACACACACACAGTTTACTACTTAACCCCGGCGTAACACAATGATATTTCTCTTATTCTCTTATGGAGTCCTGAACTTGCGTGGCTGGCAACAACAACTTTAGTGTAAGATGTGTAACTACCTTTCAGGCATGAAAGTACATTCACATCTTGCAGACATGAATGCACACTTCCTTCATATGCACGACGCATATTCATGATTGAAGTGCTTCCCTGTTTTAATAGGGGGGGTTACAGTATTCATTCGAGAAACCAAGGATCATATTAGATAATTGTTAATGATCCTTTTACTTACAGTAATGCTTCTGACACAGGCCACTTCTTATCTAGATGTGTTTTCACTGGAATTAAAATCTAACACTGTTTTAAAAATGAGATTAAAGGGTATTAGAATAATTACTTGATTTGATACTGCTTGATAACTTCATAGAAGTGTCAGGAAACACTGAGGAATATGCAACACTTCCTAAAAAAGTATTTTAAAAACAGTTTTATAGCCTTCTCACAGCAGAGGAATACCAGATACTGCTTGATATTTCTTTAAAGAAAAAGCCGTAAATTCTACACTCTACATCAAGTTCAGGGACAGATTAAACAGTTTCATTATTCTTCACTTAGCTATGCAAACAGCAGATAGTATGGAGCTGCAGCTTAACATTACTCTAATAACATCCTTAATAAAAATAAGGTTTTTATTAAGAAGTGATAAATGAGATCCCCCAGTAGTTCTCTCCCTTTTGTTACGGCAAATTTACCTCACAAATTCTTCCCTCGTCACATTTTTCTCCCCATGCACATCCCAAAAGGTAATTCAGTACCACCACTCTTCCTGATGAGCACAGCTAACGTTACTGTCAGCCGCTGCAGTAGGAGCAGTAACTAATGAAGGTTGCTCTGCTTGGCAGGAGTATTTATCACCAACTGCACACAAATGGGATGTGGTTCCACCCTGCAAGTGCACAGGTGGCCCATACTGTTCTAACATTAGTCTTCCACTACACGGGGTACTTCACCAGTGAGTGAGAATCTGCACCTCATTTAAGATCTAGTGAGTTAATTGCTTTTTTAAATAAGGAAAAAGAGATGCAAAGGCAAACACACAAGTTACACAGAAACCTGCTAGTACAGCAGGCATTTTGGTCTATTTTGGTAGCATAACGTTGCTCTGTTCAATAAAAGTTTAAGTTGTACCTGTTTCCTAACAAGCATTTCCAACAGTCGCTTCAACAGTGCACGGCTACACACTTCAATTCCCTCTTACAACAACTCAGCCATTTACAAATCCTATTATACCTAGGATATTATAACTCTGCTTTTTAAACTAGGAAGTCTCTGGATGTTTTATTTAGACATCAAGAAAGCCAACAAGAACACCATCACACTCACCTGTACCAGGACATTATCTATAGCTGTCTGTACCTCCAAGATGAGGCTGTAGCTAGCATCATCCTTATTTAATGTAAACTTATCATTCACACTAAATGCTGGTACTGATGAAACAGCAGTACTGGACTGAGAAGACTGCTGGTATTTTTCACGTTCCTGAAGAACTTTAATCTGTAGGTGTTCCAATTCATTCCTAGAAAAGGGAAGCCACATATAATGTCTTAAAAAAACCCAAACTATAAAAGCTGCCCTAGAAATTAAGCTGATAAAGCTTGCAAGGCAATCATGTTTATCTTCTGTCCACAATCTTGCAAACAGAAGTGACTGGTTACTCCTCTTATACATACATAAAGAGAAAATGTAAACTGTATCGCACGAAAATGTAGATTCTACTGTATCTTGTCAAAAGAGATTTCTATGAGTCACAGGAAAAGGACAACTTTTTTCCTTCAAGAATACAACACATATTGAATTATATACTAGTGAGTACTTTCCTGCTGTCTTTTAGAAGCTATAAGCAGCATGGAAGAAGGGAATCTTATCGTGCTGATACTGAGGAAGGAGGCATTAAGACATCATCACGTGAAGACAAGCTAGAAAGAGACTGTGAAATGAGGCTGTGATTCATTTCTACCTTGAAAAGGCTTGATTCTACTTCTAGATACATTAATGATACAGAAAGTCCAGTAAGACACGAAGGAAAAATGACATTTCAGCTTTTAACATTTCAATTCTTCCATTTAAATGTCTTTCTAGTGCAATTACCTTAAAGATGAAATCTTGCTCTGCATTTCTTGACTTAATTTTAGTTCTTCACCTGATCCACCTTCTCTATGGACAGGTTCTGTAGTCAGTCCTGTCAGCCAGCCTAAACCAATATATGAAGTTTATATTCCTTATAAGCTATAAAGAAAAGTCTGTACTCAGCTCTTGTATGTGTGGAGCAGTGTTTGTTCCAGATACTGGGTAGAGAGAATCAAGACTTCAATTCAATCTTTTCTTTGGAGGATTAATCTAGACACTGAGCATGATTTGTTTATGGAAGTTCTTAACTTGCAAGACTGGAAACCATTCTTTTTCATTAAGTACTTTGAGCAATAAATCCCTCTGCATCAGTTTTTAACCGAGCGTTTACATTGTTTCTCAATTCTGTTTCTCTGACAAAACCTTGAATAATTGGCAGTACTACAGCTGAAAACAAAATGCTGTGCAATGTGTTTACAGCAAACTGTATGTTGCACAATGTGCTTTGAAACCGAATACTGCCAGCTGAAGTGGAAAATAAAAAATCCTCTTTTTGTTTACTTAATTACATTTACTTATAAAAGCAAATACCAGTTGATTATAATCTGACACCTCCGGTATGATACGCAGCCTTGAGTGGCTGTTTATAGCTCTAGTTACCTCCTCTAATGCGTGCAAACAGGAAGGTAGCATTATTACAAAACGCACCATAAATATGACATGTCCAGAGTCTTTCACAGTCCTTAGCTACCTACTTCAAGTACCAAGAAAACCCAGTAGCGGAGCATGAACTTTAAAAAACCCCAGAGAAGTCCTCTCCTGCCAGGCCTCAAAGGTAACTTTGACTGCCCTAAGCGCTAGAGTTCTTGACCTGCCAAACTCTGCCTACTGCTCATCCTACCAGAGTTCACCTTTGAAAACCCACAGGCGAACACGGGCTGGCTCTTTCTACTTTCTTCTATGATTCATGGATCTTCCCAACATCCCTGCTAAAGGAAGCCACAGAGGACTTTGGCCACAGCACTGTTCAGCCTGTCATACTGGAGCAATTCATGCGGTGAGGTACGACAGTCTCTTAATCTTCCAGAGACTATTTAAAGGAGGTACCTGAACACCATTACTGCTCTAAATTGACTGAGAATTATATCTTGCCAAAATACGTTATTTTCAATATGAAAGGTTTTGGTAAGCTAAGTTTTTAGCCCTGAAGATAGAGACTTGGCAATATTTTAGCTCCCAACAGTTAACATATGCAGCATGTTTATCACTGCCTCTGTGACAGTCGGGACAACAGCTCGAATCCTAGAGAGAGGCTGCTGAGACCCCTCACGTGGGGAAGCTTTGGTTGCTACTAAACGCAAAATCAGCCCCATTTAAAGCCCTATGAAACTAAAAAGGAAGGGAATCACGTAGAAGAGAGGAAAGCAAACAAACAAAACATATGCATGCCTAGCAATATTTTTAATAGAGGAAAAAAATCCTGAATAATTCCTTCAGACATAACACATTCATGATTTCATGACAGCTAGTCAGCAGCCTACGCCACAGAATAACCAGTCGCTGTCTCACACAGGGGAACACGTTATGAATATCTTGAAACATAAAAACTATAGTTTAAGTGCAGAAAACATTTATGAAGTGTAAATACGAGATTAAATGGTATCTGTTGGAACAAAACCGCTCAGCCACGTGAGCTGCACTAACCGAACAGCCTGCTTCCTTGTTACCACATCACCACGCGCGGCACTGAGTGAGTAAATGATCTGAAGCTTACCTGAGTATGTGGATGCTAAAATTTCATCGTACCCATCTTTTCCTACACAGCCACCCTGGATTGATGCAATGCTCTCTGACAACGCCTTCAAATAAACACATTCAAGCAGAGGGAAATATCATTGCACTCCATTTAGAAGTCTGGGGGGCTCGGGGTGTGGGGGTGGGGTTTAAGGGTTGCGCTCCTCCTTTTACCAGCACCACAAACTACCTACACTGATGCACAGTATCGAGACCTACAAAAGAGTAAGCTGGCTCAGGACTATCATAGCTGAACTGGGGTGTTTTAACAAATGCATTCCCATTCTACCCTGGCACAACAAAGACATTAAAAAGCAGTTTAAAGCAAAACACTGATGGACAATATTTTGGAATTAGCAATCTGACTGGAGGCTGAAATAACCACTATGGATCAAATCTTCTATTTTAAACAATTCGTAACCAAAGTAATTATGCCCAGTAAAGTCTTTACAGCTTTACGTGGAGTGTTTTTTTCACTGTCACAGAAGCACTATATTAGGTTTCAGTAGCCAAAAAAGCCAGAACTTCCACATACCCTCTGCACATTTCTGATTTTTCCTCAAATCAGGACTATTTGACTTTCTGGTTCTTACATATCAGGACCCTGCTTTGGAGTTCATATAGTCAACATTACAGAGCTCATGATATTAAAAACAATGCCCACATTTTAGTAGTAATGATCTTGTATATACTTTCAGTTTTGAAATACAGTGGGTTTGGGTTTTTAATTCATTTCTCCCAGGCAAGAAGAGTAGGATGAACACAGGCTTACATGATCGTATCGCAGGACAGGATCATCTGCGCTCCCAAAGTTATTATAGATTTCTAGCACTCCATCATCTCGTCCAACGAGTAATTCTTTAACTCCATCTCCCACAATGTCAAAACTATCGATACACAAGATACCTAATGAAAAAGAAAACAAAACTGTTCACTTCATCTTTATTCGTTTAAGACACAGGCCGCATTCAGTGACACAGGAAAAGATTCTGGGCTGGCTTTCAAGGCTTTATTAATGCGATTCCTGGATGAGCCCAGTAGAGGGCTGAAGTCTCTCACCTGTGCCTGAGGCTCAGCATTGTAGTGGGTTTTACAGCAACCCATTCCAAACCACTGTGGCCGCTCCACTTCCCTTGGTGAACAGACCCATTCTGATGTACAAATAGCTGCCTTCGGAGGGGCTTTAACCCTCCTGCATCAAACATTTCCCCAGATGAACCACATGCCTGCCCACACTACCCTAACTTTGCAAGCTGAAGGAGCAAGAGCTCTTGGTTTCCTACAGTTGACTTAAAGCTACTGGTAAACAGACTGTTAGCAATTCTGGATAAGGTGACAGAAAGAGGGCTCTGACTTGTGCCAGACCTGGACTGGGTACTGCTGCATGACACATCAGTGGACAAACCCACTACTGGGGTGTGTGGAACCAGCCTCTGACAACTGATCGTGGCTGGACAGGACAGAGTTAGGGCATGGAAGAAGGAAAAAGCTGTAAGCGTTTGTACAAGCATATGAAAATGAAGATGGAATTTAACTTTTATGACTCCATATTTCATATGAAGAGTGAGGGCATACTAGAGAGCATTTGAAGAAAACTATTTAGCGATAGCTTTTACGAGATAATTAAAAAAAAAAAAAAAAAGATGTATTTCTATTCCTAGTGTTCTCCTTTACAAAGCAGTTCGGGCTGACAGAGGCTGCAGAAGTAGCACACCAAGGCTAAAGCAGGGAAAGTGTTCTGCTATGCTCTGATGAGTTCAGCCTCACTGTGGAGCTTTAGTGAAAGCTTTATTCCACTTTCAGACAAAAACCCTCGTAATGGCTTAAAAAAAAACACCCAAAAAAACCCAGTCTTGCAGGGAAGATGCTAACCTTTCCTCTGAAAGGGCTTTAATTTCTATTCCTAGTGTTCTCCTTTACAAAGCAGTTCGGGCTGACAGAGGCTGCAGAAGTAGCACACCAAGGCTAAAGCAGGGAAAGTGTTCTGCTATGCTCTGATGAGTTCAGCCTCACTGTGGAGCTTTAGTGAAAGCTTTATTCCACTTTCAGACAAAAACCCTCGTAATGGCTTAAAAAAAAACACCCAAAAAAACCTTTCCTCTGAAGGGGCTTTAAGACCACTGAACATCTGAAAAATGTGGCAGATATAATTTTCTTGTCTATTGTAAGTGTAAATGTAAAACCCTCAAGTAATCACATACGAATAAACACTGTTTTAAAAATACCACTTAAAAAAACCCCCAAGTAAAAACAAAACTGTACTGAAGTACTAGAAATAACGTGAACACAAAACCCAAAGCAAGACAAACTGATTAGAATTATTTATAAGACAATCAGAAGAATGAACATCACATACTGACATAATTACAACATGCTTCCAAAGTATCTATGAATCAGATTTCCTGATTATTGTACTTGTAACAAAGCCTCAGATATGATGGAAAGCTAAAGAATGCGATACTGACACACATACCTCCTCTCTTCTTTTCATTTCCAATCTCCCACTTAGGTATAGGCTTGGAACCAGTAATCTGGATAAGACCCAGTTTACCATCAGAAGTTCCATACACAATTTCTTCTCCAGAATCACCTAAACACATATACTGAATTAGGATCAATAAAATCAAGGACAGAAATGTAAAAATTTGAAAGTACTGTGTAGTTACACTGTAGAGGCCGAGGGAAAAAGAAAATACTAACATCAGTATTGTGTAAGAGAAGTGTCAGGCTTTAAACCCCAAAATAAATACGCGAAAATTGCACCTGTTCTGATAATTTCTCCATGGCTGTAACTCTTCTGTGTATGAATGTCCTCCTGTGCTGGAGTTCTGCCTACAGACCATTCTAATCCAACACTTGAAATGTCAGCAAAGAAAGGCTATTACACTGCATTTACAGAAGGGAACCAAAGAGATTCATTCACAACACGGGTCCAATACCGAATGTCGTGCCAAAGCATATGCAAGTAAGAACTACTTTCCCAAACCAGGTCTGGGAGTCACTGTCAGAGTCCAACTGAAACTAAATTAAGCAGCAGATTAACACACTAAGGGGATTTCTTTCAGGTTAGAACAGATTAGCAGGAAGGATTATCAAACTATTTTAAACTAAGACTGGAAGAATCAAGCTTATGTAAGCTCTGCTTAAAATGTTCATCCACACATGGACAGATGCAACCAACGATTCCAGTTATGGAAATCAGCGTGTAAGAGAAACCCTGAACAGGCCCCTAAAAGTCCAGTTCACATTTACACAATGAGACCACCTTATATCTCACTGCTCTTGTAAGAGGCTTTCAATTAAACAGGAATACAGTTCAGAACCATCTAAACCAGTCATACATATATTATTTGCATGTAAGAAATGACTTCAGAGTTTCCTGCTGCATTTTTAACATCAGCTTAAAAATCAAGGCAAAACGTAATTAACAAATACAGTAAAATAACATTGTTCAGTTATGTGTATATTTAAAAATCTCGTTACCCCCATTTCCATTGTTTAGAGCAAGAACAGTAGGAGGTCCGGAAACTTCTACTTCATACAGTAAATCAGACCCCTAAAGACAAAGAGAACTATCTTGAAGGAGCCTATTTATAGTAGTTGTATTAATCCTCATTTTGCAAGTCTGTAATCATGATTTTCCTTGAAAATATTATATATATCTAAGTGCACCAGCATTATAGACTGCAACACTGTCAAGTAAGATACGATACACTTATCCTTATGACATTTAAACCGTGACCATATGCCGAGCCCCTTAAGAATTAGTCCAGTTCTACAGCATCAATACATAAAACAAACAAGCAGGTATTTTAACCTGTAAAACTCTGAGGACTCTATCCTGACATGCGAGTACCGGTGTAATGCAGCTGACTTTATCTACAGGAAGGCAGAGAACATCGTTGATTTTATCTCCCGACAGGTAGTAGTGCTGATCTTTGCAGTCACAGTAATGGTTATAGATATAGCTTGCACAAAGAAAGAGATCTGCTCCTGAAATATGCCTGAGAAAAAGAAAACACTTCCTGTAGCGTTTTCCCAGTACGGCTGCAGCGAGAGGCTTTTAGCCCTGCTATGGGCACACACTACTGACTGCAGATTCAAGGCGCGAGTGGGCCTTACAAGCCGTTCCGGCTATTAAAGAAGTTTCTTAGGGATGCTAAAAACGTACAATTTCTATGGCTCTCGAATCTCCTATTGTGCTTTCACACAAAACCCCGAGAGTATCTTTACAGAAACATCATTAACATACTTTGATGACATCAGTTCTTTTTAAGACAGTTTATATCTCGCAGCCTCTTATCTCACGATCCAAAACACTAAAATCCCCCAGTTGTTCCTGTTCTGCTACAGGAAGGGCGTATGGACACGACACGCTACGGCAGTAACCCCAGCTCTGCTCACCTGCATCTGCACCGATGTGAGCGCCCCCAGGCCCCTCCCAAGCCCCCGTATGCTCTCTAGACTTCACCACGACTTCCTAAGTTCCTTCCTACACGCCATGGCACGAGCTAAAGCTGGACTGGCACTTAAGTGTTACCACACAATACAGTAAAAAAAGAATTCATAAAAATCATTAACAATGTGCTACAGCGACGAAAAAATTGCAAAATATCATACATACATAGCTTTGATGCTTTCAGTGAGGTTAGTTTCAAACGAAAGAAACTGCTTCCCTCTTTTTGTGAATCCTCTAACTTCTGACCCTGTAGCCACAAAAATTTTCTCTTGTGGTGTATTAAGAGCTCCTCCCAACTCCAGTCTTGAAATTTTTTTGCCTGGCAGTGTCTTGAACACTGGCTGTAAACAGAAAAGCCATTTTCATCACCACAATATCATATTTATGGTAATCTTTTAACATAAAATATGATAAAACCACTTTACGATTTCTGGCAAAACTAAGGATACTGTGGATTAAGTGCAGATAAAAACAATCATCACATTTCAGAACGTCAAAGCATTTTATAAATCAATAAATATAAAAAGTTGTAAAATAAAATAGGGGTTTATTATCTCAGTGTTATTCATCCGTAGCAAACTTTCAGCACTGCTAGTAGCTGATTTTTGTTTATTTGTGGGTGGGATTTTTTCCAAGAAACACATGCACATGCGCACTCACTCACTCACTCCCTTTTACATGTTGTATTCTTGTTCCAGAAGACTACATGGATTTCTTGGTGTTGCTCCATGGTCCTTATGAGCTGGCTACAAACTTTCTCAAGGGGACAAAGTAAAATAAAATGACCATTTTTTATTAAGCTGGGCAGAAGTCTAGCCTCATAAAAAGCAGTTTGTCAAAATCCCCTAAGGTGACTGATCCACTGTGGGTGGACAAAAACCTACAGTGATTCATTAGCGGAGTACTGGTACAGGCTTAAGCCCAACTGAACTGCAGAGCAAAAGGTGTTAAACAACCTTCTTGGTCATGATATACACTAGAGTCTGCCTGCAGCCGTGGGCGACCTCATGCTTGTTCAGGTATGAAATCAGCGTGCTCTCATCACACCTAGGTATCAGTGCACACACCTTCCACAGGTACCTTATTTCCCATGTCAATAAAACAGACTTTCAAAGCTCATTAGGAAGAATACTTAAAAAACTTAAAATTCAAATGGAACAGTGCCACTTACCACAGCTTCCCCTTTTTTAATGCCAAAACACATAACGACCCCATCCTGATCTCCGACCACCACCTTCAAAAGTATAATACATCATGGTTTTTTGTCACGTGCATAAATATTTTTAAATGACCTTTTTTCCCGTGTAAATCATATTTTTCTTTATTTAAGTACTTTAAATTCTATGGTACTTAATTTACACAGCTGTATAGGAGTGTGCCAGATAAACCGCTATAGATAGGCCACTAAAGCCTAAGAGCAATAGTTTAAGCGATTGCATTGACAATCCTTTTCCTGCGTAAAGGTCAGCAAGCATCAGGTGGGACACTCCAGGGCAGCACATTCGGCAGCAGTTGTATTTTTAGACTGAGAACTTACTATTTGAAAAAAAATGCACCGTTATTTCTATTGAGTTTTCCTGACCCAAGTTTCCTCGGCTTGAACTCCCACCAAGGAGAATGAAAAAAGCAGTATTTCCTCTACATTCCACCTTAGCAAAACAGAAATAGAGACATAGGCAAGAACTTCTCTGCAGTGTCAGCAATGCCTTAAGTTCTGAAAATTCCTTACTGGTTCGGCCAGTTTTCCAAATACACGTTCAGGCTTTTTTTTTTTTTAGTTCTTCCTAATTTTTTCCCCAAACTTTCCAGGAACGGGGCTGCAGTTTCCCCCTACGCCGTGGCGCTGGCTGTAGCCAGGAGAGCGCTAGCTCGCCACAGCGGCCGGTATTCCCTGGAGAAGGGTATCCCCTGGGAAGGGGAGCGCGGGGCCGGGCACCCCGCAGTCGG